GTTTCATCAAACTTGCGGAGGTTAGTTTGCGCCTACTGAAAAATGACGATTTTCAAGCAGGCCTTGAAAAGTGAATAAGTGGCGGCGCCGCAACCAACGGAGGGATGTAGTTTTTATTATTCTAATTTTCTATGAGCTATTTGTTCGAATCCGCAGTTACAAAAATACGGTCATTTTACGACGGCCCGGGAACTCGTTCGACGGTGAGTAGTGCTGGTATTCCTGTGCGTCGTGCAGTCATTTTACTTCTTATGCAGTACTTTGCGTAGGGGATTAGTAAAAGATTTGTCAGTGAATTTTGCTGTTGCTCGTCTATTTCCAAGTGTCTACAGCGCGCAGGAAGGTAAAGTACGAAGGGTAAAGCCCCATCCTGTTCAGGCGATTTCGTCGCTGAAACATCCACTGAATAAGTAGTTATACCGATTATGTAACTTGTTAAGACAGCTCTGCACGTTAGCCTCCAACTCAGTTTCGGTTTCTTGTGAGGATTGCTGCTGTGCTGTGAGTTGTTGAAATTGGCATGTTAGTGGCGAAGCTTTATGTGCTCTGATCGAAATTGATTTTTCGAGGGTCAGTTAACCAACAATTCACTTGGGGTTGTGAGCTTTTCCAGTAGGTTCTGCTGAAAAGAAAAATATGGGCGAATAAGGTTGAAGGTCACTCAGATCTCTGGAAGAAGGTATTGATTTAAACAACTGTTAAAAGTGTTTAGCGAAATTTCGTTTTTGGGATTAGTGGCTTATTACTGAAGATTTGTTTTGTGGCACGAAGTTATAGGTTGGCTTGGGAGGACGCAAAAGCCGGCTGATACTATCAATGAGCGCTGCAGTCGCGTTTCGTGATCATCTGGATCGATTTGTCAAGTTTTTCGATGGGCTTGGTTTGCATATTTCGAGTTTTTTTGATGTCGTTTTGTTCTGGTGATAGAGCAGTACAGAGGACTGAAATGTTGTCTTTTTTTCCCGGAAAATTTGTCCCGATTCATCCGTTGTACCCGCCTTATCCCTGGATTGCCATACTCGCCGTTTCATCATCGGCCTTTGTTTTTCCTGCTTGAGTTCTATAGGACAAGAAAGTCACGCCGGCTTTTTGGCTTTCATGAGGGTCTCAGACAGGCGCGAACAACTGTGCTTTATTATTATGACCGAATTCTTTGTTTTGTATTCCTATACCACGGTGAGAGCCAGATTTTGCCATGAAAGAGTTTTTCGTGGGCAGTCAAATTTTTTTCTTGTCGAGAGTAGTTGGGGCCTTCCGCGTGATATTTTTTTGAACCGCCGTTTTCAGAAATTATTTTGTTCGAGGCTTGAAGTCTCTCTGTCTGTTGAGCAAGGGTTGAGTCAGTTTTTCTGTTTCTCCATCTTTGTTCATCCATATAATTCAGCTTCACAGCAGCAGAACAGCCATTCTTCCAAATTTGAAGTATATCTTTTAAGGTGGACACAAGTCACTTGCTTTTGCGAAGAACAGCTGGGCAACTCCGATGCGAGGTTGAAACACGCGTAATTGTTTTATTAGAGGAGGGTCTTAATATGTGTTTGTGAGGTTAAGTGTGTCTGAGATTAGTACCATCTCATTGCGGCCATCCTCTCTTTCCGAAAACAACTTAAAAAATTAGTGGTCTCAGCGCAGCAGATTAAATTGTGCTAATGAGTGGGTCTTCCTACCGCAGATGTGAGATTCAAAGAGTAATCAGATGTTGCAGCCTCCGGCGAGGAGCCGATCATTAGTGAGAATGGTCAGTTGAGATCCGAAATCATTGTTCACGAGTCACGCCGATATTACCTTGACTTGAAAGAGAATCAGAGAGGTCGCTATTTGCGAGTGTCACAAACAGTTTCGCGGGGTATGCCAGGTCTTCGTTCTCAGGTAATTTTTGAGGAAACGCAGAGTTTTCTGAAGCTGTCATTATGAAAATTTTGTGGTACAACTGGATATGTAATGGATTGTAGATTGCACTACCAGCGCCTGGCATGGCCCAGCTACGGGACGCACTGAGCGAACTGATCGACAAATACGCCGAAGGCTATCTTAATGAGGTAAGTTATGATCAGCTGTTTGAGAAATTGAAAGTGAAAAGCTGTTAGTACGTCGCACTGAATATATATATATATATATACATATGTATATACATATATATATATGTATATATATACATGTGTACATATATATATGTACATATACATATACATACACATGTACATATATATATGTATATATATACATATGTATCTGGATATACGTGTGTGTATATGTCGAAGTGTCATGCAGTTTTTACATTAGTTTGACGTCGGAATTTTGGATTTCCGTGAGTCTCTGCTTATTCTGGCGTATTCGGATATAGGAAGTTATAGCGCGAGAAGTTCAAATATAAAAATCCATCTTGTAGTCTCTCAAAACAAAATTTGCTTTCTACTTTTTATGCAACGGTCTCGTAGCCGAATTATTTTTTTTTTCTGGTCTTGTAAAAATCGTGTTTAGAAATCTTGATGCATGCATTGGGCGGCTAAGCAGATGGACAGCCGACCGGGAAGAGAGGCGAGGGAAGGGGGAGGGGGAGGGGTGGAAATGATGGCATAGATGAAGGGGACTGTACTTGTTTGTGAGCTTACAGACAAAATATAGGATTTGTTACGATGTGCAGTGGAGAGTTGGAAGGTGTAGTAGCTAGTTAAACGCGGCGAGTGACAAGAACATCATACAGGTTAACTGGTTGCAGTGTATGCAAGTAGTATGTACACTGTTCACGCGATTTTGTTCCAGAATGACGCGAACGTGGAGTTGCCGGAGCCAAAACACGTGCGTTCAGAGAACAACAAAATATTTTATTTCGATGTTGGGCATAATGAACGCGGCACTTTCCTGCGCATATCCGAGGTATAGGAGCTGCGAGCAAAACTGGCGTACGGCAGCACTTTTAAATTTTTGTGAGCGAATTTGCTGTAGCGTCCTAACGGTGTGTGCTCTCGTAGGTGAAGCAGATTTCCGGCAATCGTTCATCGATAGCGGTGCCGATGAGCTCATGGGGAGCGTTCCGAGATGTGCTGGCAGAGTTACAAGAGAAGATGAGTGCTGCTGGGAAGAGCGCCGAGACGGATGTTGATGAAGTAGGAGCGAAGAAGCCCAGTGTCGAGAGCGAGCAGAATAAAGACTAGATGCATTCACTGTGTCTGAGGCCAGGTTGCGGTTTGTTTTACACAGAGACTTGCCTCGTTTCTTTTCCGTCGTAATCGCTGATTGTAATGTTTGCCAAGTTCTTCTGGATGGCTTGTGTCTCTCACTGAGATAGTTTCCCTCCCTCATTTCTTTTAATGTGCACACACACCTCCATGTTGGGTCCTCATCATCATTCACATCTTCGCCTGCAAATGCTATACCAGTACCTCAGTTATTACAAACAGTCTGGACTTATGGCTGCACGTGCCAAACCCGGTTGCAAATTGCTGTTGTTTTCAGACTTGCTGTATTTTGGTCTCTCAGATTGAGAATTCTCAACGGTTTTTCTTCTCCCCCCACCCTTACCTCTCATCCGTCGAAACTGTTATCTTTTGCATTACGCTAGATGCGTGTCTTTTGTTTTGTAGGTTTCAGTTAATATGTGTTTATTCCGTCAGCCACCGTGCGCGTGTGTGTTTGTATGTGTCTTTGTCTCTGTGCTTGTCTAGTCGCAGTTGTTACGCATTTTTTTGGATATTTTGTGAGCAGCGTTGGGCTGCATTCTTCTCTTTGCCAGTAGCGCACTGTTGTTTGAGTTGATGACACTGAAGCTGTTTCGGGGAATTGCTTTCCGGCATATGCCACTGCATTTGGCTCGTCATTTTGTGCGAAAGGAGGCAGAGTTATTAATTTTTTAGCGCTCGATAATTGTTGTCTTATACTAGAGTTTGTTAAGCTAGACAGTCGACTTTTATATCGTGATTTTTGTCTTGCTGTCTCTATATTTGTTTCGGTGACCTATTGACGTCTGTGGCGCAGTACACTCACGTCCAGGCCCCAACGGGCTGTCCATGACCGCCGAAGGCTATTTGTGAAAGTTGAAATGCATCTCGCGAGGCGGATATTGAATGAACTCTGTGCGTTTTCATTGCGTGGATATCGGCGATGAATATATCCATACTTTTTGTCGCCACAGACGAGTGTTTTCGATTTTCCAGGGAGTTTTTTGTGTAAAGGTTTTGAGTTTTTGAGGATTTATCGTCGCACTTAAAATTTGATGTCCCACGGTTTTCGGCTCAAATTTGGATATTTTGACTTGTGTGAGTCGAGGCCTATTTTCCTCTTTCTCTCCCACTCCATTTCTGATATTTGCACAAGTCTTTCTCCATTTCTGATATTCGCACGTATACTTCTCCGTTTCTGACACTTATACGTGTCTCCATCTCTCGTAACTGCATGCCTGCTGCTAGATTGATTTTGCAGAACAATTGTCATTTCATCTTTGTGCACTTAGTAAGTCAGTGTTGGGTGCAGCCGTTTGTGAGTTCGTAATGTTATCATTGCGGTTTATTTTGGGAATATGTTGGAATTGGCGGATATAAAATTGTACTGCTCTCATCACATCACATTCCACCGGCCACAAAACCAGGCTGGCGCTTCCCGTAGCTTTTGCAGTAGGGGACACCACAAACACATCGAGATGCCGAACTGGCAACTTTCGCATCAGAACTGTGTAGAGACCTAGGATTTCGATGAGCGCTAATCCATTGGGAATAGGCGTAAAAGCTGCTTCCCGGCATCGTCAGCGGTGGAACCCCCGTCCCGTCTGCTAAAGCATGACCTCCGTTATTTGCTTCGTTGTGCTAGGGATGCCGCCGAGCTCGTCTCATTTCGGAATGTTGTGGGTTAAGACGGGCGGGCCTGGCCACGCGTCCGTCCATTTTTGTAACACTGTGTAAATATTGTCGAGATTCCTGATGGGATCAGAAAAGAAGTGGGGGAGGAAGGTGTGACCTCAGGAAGGTCCCCACTGTGTGCGTGTGTCTATGTATGTGTGTCTGGGGGATTTTTTTCACCCGCGTCCCATTCAGTAATCGCAGAAGCTAATAAGCCAGGATTCCACGGGGGTGTTCCTTGCCACGTACTATCAGAACAACTTGAAGCCGACATTCGTATTTACTTGGTTCTCACATATGGACCCGTGAGGGGGTTCACGCGAATGTTTGCATGGGAAAGGTGGTTTCTGGAAGCAGAGGAGATACAATGCTAAAATCTCTTGTAAACATTCTATTTTTTTCAGGGAGATTTTAAACTCGGCTTTAAAGCACGCCGGAACCACGCATACGGGCACACCAAGTTGAAGTGTCGTTTAGGGATTCCTCAATTTACGAGAATATTTGCCTTCCATGCGTGGGTGCGTACGCGTGAAGTGAGCCGTGGTATATGTTTGTGTCGCTCGTTCGGACTAGATAAAGATATATGTGACAAAAAGCGATTGCAGCAATCAACCAAGGCTGGGAAGCCGAAACTTTGCAGAGATGTTCCGTACCATTGTGCAATTTAAATATTTCAAATTCAGATTTAAAAAACGTCTAAGTTCCGCGTACACGTAAGTGAATGTTTAATTTTAGATACCGTTGTCACCCAGTTAACTCGTCAACCAGACTGAGCAGGAAGCAGTATTTTTCTGATGGTGTTTGCTGTTCTTGTCGGGCCACCAAGCTCAAAATGAGCCTCTGCTGCAACATGGGCTGTGCATACAGGCGCATCAAATACACAAAATGCATGTGAAGGACAGTTTGCTCACTGCTTCCTGACGATAAACCCGACTCCGTCAATATTCCTCTGTCCTTCACCAATGCCAAACAAAATCGTTTTTCCATCTTCGTAGGCTACGATGTGTTCGGTCCTTCGCCACAAATTGAAGACATGCGATGTTAGTCGGTTTCTCGAAGAAGGTAGTCCATAATTTCACTCCTCGAGAGCGACTTGCAGTTGTAGGTGCATGTTGAAAGATCTGGGCCATCCTGTGCTGGCATCCGTTTAACACCTGGTATTCTTAACAGCCCTTCGCCTTCTGGTTGCCGATGCACCGTCGTAGACCGGACCGAAGGGCGCGCAGGGTACTAGAGTTTTTGTATATTATGTAAATGCGAAAACGCATATTGGCAAGAGGGTGTGTATGTGTGTGTGTTTGTGTGTGTGTATGTGTGCGTGTGTGTGTGCCTGTGCATCTATGTGTGCGAACTTTTTGTCACCCACTCTTAACAACCAGAAAACCTGAAAAAACTGAGACATCGAAAATATGTGCTCACCCCATGTGCGACTATTCTAACATTATCATTCGCGAGTGCCTGGATCCCACATACGGACACCTCAAAAAAATACACAGATTTTTTGGCAAGAAAGCGATCTCGGGAACCAAAGAGAATAGAGAGCTAAAACTCTGTAGGGATATTCTCTGTGTATCTATGAGCAAAAATTTCAAATTCAGTTACCGCGCGCTTACATCACACATATAGTCAAGTCAGTCAGTAGTAGCACTGTGCCAACTCGAAAACTAGCCGGAAAATTTAAGGGCGTGCGTTGGATAGCGTAATTTAAGGGCGTGGTGGATGGAAAGGATGGGCGATGTGGTGCTAGTTTAAGCTGCGGAGACTAGAGGTAAGGGAAGGACTGCGATATTGGTTGGCTCGAGACAGCAGTTGTAGGGGAATGGAGAGGACTGAGATATTGCTTTGGAGGTAAGAATTAGAGCCAAGGTAGAGAAGGGAACGAGGATACTAGTCAGGAACTCGAAGTAGGAACTGGAGGCAACAGTAAAGACAAAGAGACAACACAGCATTACAAAGGAAAGTAAGTTAACGAAAAATAAAGGCAAATCTAAACTCAAGAGAGTGAAATATGGGCAATTACTAAAACTCGGGTCGGCTCGGCACGGCCCGGCTCGGCTCCGCTGGTGTCTTACACGATCAGCCAAAAATTTTTTGTACGGAGGACGGCTAGTGTTGCCCGTTGAGCCCTATGCTACTGGTACGGTGAGGGCTATGAAATTTTTTGGGTACAATT